AAGGTGAGAAATGATTCCTGCAATTTGTCCTGTATCCTGTAACCTCTACATTCATGCTGTGACACCCATGCTCTAACACACACCTCTGCACAATAAACAGATATAATTTTAAAAAATCCACCTATTTTGATTTCCACAGTAACTCATTAAGTTGTAGCACAGGTTTTTAAAAAATCTGCTCAGCTTCCATATTGAAGTTTATAATTTTTACCATTCCCATTCTGTACACTGTGGGCTAGCCTCATGGATGATTTGGCCTCTCAGGAGCACACCCAGCAGGTTTTCAATAGATTTGGTATCTCTCCTTTTCCAGAAATGCTTTTTTGGGGGTATTTTTACTACTCCATGGTCACAGGCCACATATTGTAGATCAATCTGTCTCTCTACCTGTTCTTATAAAGGTTTATTGGAACAGTTCGTGCCTTGGTTTATGTATGTGTGTGTGATTGCTATTTATTTTATCTTTTCTTTATATCTTCCAATGAATTATAAATCTCTTGAGAGGAGACATCATATTTCACACTTTCCTGAAAGCGCTTTTCAGCTCTTGGAAGCTGTGCCTGTGATAGCTCACTCAGAGTTTGTTGATGGACCAGTGAATATTGAACTTGCTTGGATTAACCTAGAATAGTGACCAGCTCACTGCAGTCAAATATTTGGACATTTTTCTTCTGTGATAGAGACTCAAGTAGTTCTAGAAGTCATATTGAAAGATGGAAATTGGAAATACTTAAATTTTTTTAAAATTTATGCGATTTTCGTACAGTCTAGTTTGAAGGTATTTAGATTCCTTTCCTTTGCACATCTTCCTCCACTGCCCCCACCCAATTTAATGTACTCTCTTGTGTATGTAATATGACCCCATATGCCCTTCAGTGTGAGTCCATTCACTGGGCCCACCAAGAGTTCCATCCTTGTAAGACACTGTCTTTTCTCCTCCCAGCTGCCATCAATGTCCCAAAGTTCCTTAAGTTAGGTTGGGATTTCTTACTTACTTCTCCATGTCTATGCTGGGATTTTGTCTGGTTTGAGCTTGCACTTGTGCATGCTGTCCCTATTGCCGTGAGTTCTCTTGTTTTGTGTGTGTGTGTATGTGTGTGTGTGTGTGTGTGTGTGTGTTTTATCACCACTGTCTTTTGTACTGCCCTAGTGAAGTTCAGTATTTGGGATGGAAATCACAGGGGATGCAAAGCTGAAAGTGTTTACTGGTTTGTCCTTTATAGGAAAAAGTTTCATGATCCTTGCCCTTAGTCATCAAGGCCACTGTTAAATTAAACTTAAAAAAATATTTTATTTATTATGTTTATTTCATGTATATGAGTGTATTGCCTACATGTAGGTAAGTGTAACCGTGTCATGCAATGCCTGTGGAGGACAGAAGAGGCCATTGGGTCCCCTGGAACTGGAGTTTTGGACAGTTGTTAGCTGCCATGTGGGTGCTGGGATTTGAACCCGGGTCTTCTGCAAGAACAATCAGTGTTCTTAACAGCTGAGCCATCTCTCCAGCCCCTGAGACTTAAACTTTTAAATCATCTATTATTTATCTATTTTGGTTGTTTGAGGTATTCTCATGCAGCTGAGGCTGGCCTTGAATTTCTGATCTTCTTGCCTCTAACCTCCCAAGAGTGGGGATTATAGGCAGACATGACCACCACTTCTTAAAACCCACATTTTCTTATAACTCTTTTTTCCCTTCACTGTAATATACCTTTCAGCAAGTTTCTGCAGAGGGACTCTATAGGTTGTAAACATTTAGTTTTTGTATGTCTGACATGTCTCAAATTCCCCACCCTCTTTCCCCTTAAATCATGGTTTGGCTAACCACCATTGCTGTAGAGTTGAAAAGAAAAAAACAAACAAACAAACAAACTAAAAAACAAAAAAAACACCACAGATTGCTTGGATTTTCTTGCAGCTAGAATCCAATGCAATTTGGTTTTACCAATAAGATGCATGTAGGTGAGACTTGGAAGGCAGATTGTAGCTCCCTGATCCTGCATCTGACTCCCTGGATACTGCTGTTGGTGTTTTATCCTCTTGGGATAACCTCTCAAGTCCCTTCACTTGCAATTAAACCAGAGGTGAGGAACCCCATAGGTGGGTCTATGGTGTGCCTGGGCTGCTGTCCATCAAGTTTCCATCCAGAGCCCCTTCATCCAGCCATTCAATGATTGTATAAGCATTTAGTTCCCTGTCTTAAACTCCTTGTTTAACTTGATTTCTGTTTTCTGATTTAATCTCTGATGGATACAGTGACTAAAGAAAGTTCAGTCTTTCTCCCAGTTCCTCATGGACCATGAGTTTAACAAAATTAGACACAATATATGTCTGTTCTCTTAGAAAAGGTCAAGGATTAAAGCAAAACATGAAATTCTCCCATTTACACTCTAATTTTTACTTATTCAAAGGAACAAAAAAATCCCCCTTATTTGATAGATATCCTTGTGCTGTCTTATCTAAATATATAATGAATGAATATTACATAAATGCTTATATATTCACAAATGCATTGATATGTCCATAAATGTGTCCCTGTTTAGAGAAATGGCACCATCCTGTATTTTTTCCCTATTCTGTTGATTCTACTTGATACTATATTATCCTGGAGACAATTCCATCATCATTTACTTAGTAATTATCATTAGTCAATATTGCAATATTATTATAAGACAGGATCTCATGTAGCTCAGGCTGGCTTTGACTTTGCTATGAAGCCAAGGATGACGTTGAACTTCTGATCCTCCTGTCACTACCTTGTGAGTACTGGGATTACAGACAAGTGCCACCAATTCCAATTTATGGGATGCTGGGGATTGAACCCAGGACTCTGTGCATGCTAGGCAAGTAGTCTGTCAACTGAGCCATCTACCTAGGCTCCTACTTAGTTAATTTTAACATCTGACAAGTATTTCAGTGTGGATGCACCAAAATTATTTTAAAACCATGTTTATATGGATTCTAACACAACCAAATTGGGATAAATTGAGGCTTATTTATGCAAGAAGTAACTATAATTATCTATAAAGGAAAAGATTGACACCAGGGAGGTACAACAGCTGGGATGTAGCAGCTGTTACCATCCTTATGGCCTGAAAGCACAAAGGAGGAAGAGGTTATTAAAACTTAGACTTCAAGGCATTGGGAGATAGCTCAATTAGTGAAGTGCTTGTCTTGCAAGCATGAAGACCTGGGTTCAATACCCAGAACCCATGTGGAAAGAAGCTGGGTGTGGTGGTTTGCACTTGTAGGGGAGGCAGAGACAGGTGGATCCCTGGGACTTATTAATAAGGCAGTTGGCCAGCCTAGCCTACTTGGTAAACTCCAAGCTAGGTAGAGAGAGAGACCTTGCCTAAAAAAATCAAGGTGAATGGGGTCTGGGGAGTAATAGCTGACAGCTTAGCTTGTCGTCTGGCTTTCACATGCATACATGTGCATACATACCTGCATACACAATCATACACACACACACACACACACACACAC